GAAGCCAGACAAGAACTCAGCTCACTATTCTTCTTCTCCAACTTAATGCTCTGTAATTTTCATTTTTTTTTAATTTTAAAAAATTTTGTTTAAGTTTATTTATTTATTTTGAGAGAGAGAGAGAGAGAGAGAGAGAGTGAGAGCAGGGGAGGAACAGAGAGAGAAGGAGAGAGAATCCCAAGCAGGCTGTGTGCTGACAGATGCGAGGCTCGAACTCACGAACTATATGAGATCATGACCTGAGCCAAAGTCAGACACTTAACCGACTGAGTCACCCAGGTGCCCTGAAACTCTGTAATTTTACTTTTTTCTTTCATTTTTTTAATGTTTATTTATTTTTGAAAGAGAGACAGAGTGCGAGTGGGGTAGGGCAGAGAGAGAGAGAGGGAGACACAGAATCCGAAGCAGGCTCCAGGCTCCGAGCTGTCAGCACAGAGCCTGAGATCATAGAGCCGATGTCAGATGCTTAACCCTTGACCAACTGAGCCACCCAGGTGCCCCAAATTCTGTAATCTTCGAACAGTGACTCCAGTGATGGTGAGTAATATGTGTCAACTTGTCTGGGCCACAGGGTACCAAGATATCTGGTCAAACATTTTTCTGAGCTTCCCTGAGAATGTTTTTGGATGAGATTCCCATCTTAGTCAGTGGGGTAAAGATTTCCCTCCATAATGCGCATGGCCTCGTTCGATCTGTTGAAGGCCTGCATAGAACAAAGACAGTAATCTTCCTCCAAATAAGAAAATATTCTCCAGCAGCCAGCCTTTGGGTTGGAACTTCACCTTGGCTCTCTTGGGTCTCAAGCCTGCTGCTCCACATTACAGATTTGGGCTTGCCGGTCTCCATAATTGCATGAGTCAGTTTCTTACCATACATCTTTCTCTATAAATATGCACCCTCTTATTGGTCCTGTTTCTCTAGAGGACCGTGACTAACATAACTCCTCATTTCTTCCTTCTCCCCGTTCCTGGAAGCCACCATTCTATTTTCTCTTTCTATGAACTTGACTACTCCAGGTACCTCATATAAGTGGAAACATACAATATCTGTCCTTTTGTGTCTGGCTTATTTCACTTAGATTAGGGCTTCACGATCTGTCCGTGCTGTAGTACGTCTCAGAAGTTTCTTTTTATTTTTTCTAATGTTTATTTATTTTTGAGAGACAGAGACACACAGCACCAGCAGAGGAGGGCCAGAGAGAGAGGGAGACACAGAATCCGAAGCAGGCTCCAGGCTCTGAGCTGTCAGCACAGAGCCCGACGTGGGGCTGGAACCCACGAGCTGTGAGTTCATGACCTGAGCCGAAGTTGGATGCTTTACCGACGGAGCAACCCAGGCGCCCCATGAATTTTCTTTAAGGCTGAATAATATCCCATTGTATGTATATACCACATTTTGTTTATCCGTTCATCCATTGATGGACGTTTGGGTTTCAAAACCTGTGGGATAATTTCTACCATCCTTTTGTGGTAGATAGCTGGACGAAATTCACAGACTTTAACTAGTTCTCACTTCCTGCCCCCTGATGTTGTTCATGCCCTTGTGTAATCTTCTCCCCTTCAGTGTGGGTGGTATCCATGGTTTGGATGTGCCAAAGTGATAGAATGTATATGATGATGTATTTGTGATTACATAAGTTATGGTGTTTATTTTGCTAAAGTTTCTCTCCCTCCTCTTGGCCAGATTTAAAGAAGCAAGCTTACAGAAATCCTATAACCACAAAGAATTGAATTCCTGGGGTGCCTGGGTGGCTCAGTCAGTTAAGCATCTGACTCTTGATTTTGGCTCAGGTCAGGATCTCAGTTTGTGAGTTTGAGCCCCACAGCGAGCTCAGCGCCCTCTGTACTGGCAGCGAGGAGCCTGCCTGGGATTCTCTCTCTCTCCTTCTCTCTCTGCCCTTTCCATTCTTTCTCTCTCCCCTTTTCAAAACAAATACATGAAACATTAAAAAACAAAGAAATGAATTCCCGCCTGAGGTAGCTTGGAAGCATATCCTTCCCCAGTTGAGTCTTCTGATGGGAATACAACCCAGAAGACATCTTGACCTCAGCCTGTGAGACCCTAAGTAGAAGACCCAACCAATCTGTGCTCATACTTCTGATCCACAGACACTGTGGATTATATATATATATATATATATATATATATATATATATATATATATAATGTGTGCTCATAAAATTTGTGGTAATGTGTTATATGGTATATAAAACTAATAATACTTTGATAAACTTAATCCCTTCTATTTTGTTAAATTCCCTTAAATTGAATCCTGAGTGTCAATGCCTCTGAGGTTGTCACTCAATGCTTACATTGCAATCTTGATTCATAAGATAGAGCACTTCCTGGTGGAGTCGTTGCAAGATGAAACTGATGTCTTCTGCTTTATTATCTATTTTTGAAGCTACGGGTGTGGCCCAACTCACTGCTCAACACTTTATAACTCATGCTTGGTGACTCACAGTAAAGATAGTCCTGGACTCTATTTCACTGAGGCACAGAAAGGAAGGGAATTCATGGTTGGTCATCTGACATAGGCAAGGTCAAAAGGAGAATAATCAAAGGGGCCAGAAACAAGTAATTTTTTAGCTCCACTTGTTACAGGTTTTGTATAACAATTTCCTGAGGCATAAGTGAAAGACCTCTATGTACATGTGCCCTCCATTGGTTCCACTCCAAGTCTTTAACAACCTGGTCAAAAGCTAATGATTCACAAACTTAATAGAACTACAAGATTGTGTAGGATTGAGATGAGGTCGTTCCCCTCCATCTCAGCCACCTTCCCTTCCAGTCTGTACCCTGTTTAGTCTTCCTACACGGGATCCTCTCTCCTCTCTCAACATTCGTGACGTAGAGGTTTTGACAGGGACAGAACTGGGCATTAAAATTGCCACAAGGCATAATCACTCTCATTAGGATAAACAAGAAGTTCTACTTCTTTGAAGAATAACCCAGTGAGGAAAAAAAAAAAAAAATGGCAGTAGTTATTCTAAGAAAGAATATTAACAAGGAGGTCATTAAAAGAATCGTGTTTTGTTCAAACCTGTTAGAAAGCTGGAGGGCAAAAAGGTGATGGCAATCACATGCAGGAAAGTGCAGTGGGGGCAAAGATCATGGTAATGGGCAAACCTGTTCACTCAGGCTTGGCTGGCATGATTGGGGAAGAGATGGCGAGGAAAACAAGGGGAAATATTCAAAATTGGAATACCAGGAAAGCTAAAACATGGCCATGGTAATAAAACACTGACAGGACATCAGTTATTCAGCATATCGAAGGTGAAGGTCACTGGTAAAACTGAATGGAAATCAAGAGAATCCTAGTTAACACTTCTAAAATACTGGTTACATCAGGACAATTATGTGCATTTCACACACATTACCTTATGGAATCTCTAGAAGTCTATGAAGTAACATTATTATTATCACCCCACTTTAGATAGAACGAAGCTGACCCAACAGGGATATAATAACTTGCCCAAGATCACACAGCTATTAAATGAGAAAGCAGGTATTTAATCCCAGAGAACCTAGCTAGGTTCTTAGCCATGATACTCTATTGTATCTCTGACAAGAGAGAGAGAAGGGAAAAATTAGTGATGTTATCATGTGCGGGGCACTCTAAATAGAAATAGAAATATTCTAATAAAAATCCTTCATGTCTTTGGTGGTATTTTCTCTATGAAACAACATCTAGGGCAAGTCAAGTGAGCATTCCTCTCCTGTTTTGTAAAAGGGAAAATTGAGGCTTGGAGAAATGACATAATAATTTAGTAGAGAGCCAGGGATTTTCTGGTCTCCCGGTCCTATGAAATACTTCCCACCTTGCCAAGTTTTCTGCTGAGATTTGAAAAATACTCTTCATCTTAGCTCCGTCCTCCTTACTTTTTAAAAAATAACGCAATGATCATTTAGTTTGGGAACTTAATGTTATCTAATCACCAGGCTTTTCTGTCACTATTTGATTTCCTTAGCTAAGAGAGAAAGAGAAAAAAAAAGTTATATTCTCCGTGCTCATTTAATGCTGTGTGGGGACTCTTTGAATCAATCCCACCCCACAGTTGCCCTCAACAATCATTCAGTAAAATTAGATACGATCTAAAAGGTGGTTTTATTCAATTCTTATGAGACAGATATATGTGTGTAAACTAATGTCTAATTTTTTTATGAAATACTTTGCATATTGAAGTTTTTTTTTTTCACTTTTTTTTTTTTTAATTTTTTTTTGGGGGACAGAGAAAGAAAGAGCATGAACGGGGGAGGGTCAGAGAGAGGGAGACACAGAATCGGAAACAGGCTCCAGGCTCTGAGCTGTCAGCCCAGAGCCTGACGCGGGGCTCAAACTCACAGACTGTGAGATCATGACCTGAGCCGAAGCCGGACGCCTAACCGACGTCACCCAGGCGCCCACATTTTAAAATTTTTAATGTTTATTTATTTTTGAGAGAGAGAGAGAGAGAGAGAGAGAGAGAGACATAGAGCGTGAGCAGTGGAGGGGCAGAGAAAGAGAAGGAGACACAGAATCTGAAACAGGCTCCAGGCTCCGAGCTGGCAGCACAGAGCCCGACGCAGGGCTTGAACTCACAAACTGAGAGATCATGACCTGAGCTAAAGTCAGATGCTTAACCGACTGAGCCACCCAGACGCCCGATGCGTGCTTATTTTTATTCCGACTTTAGATTTTATTTAAGAGAGAGAGACAGAGACAGAAACTTAAAGACCTATAGATCTTGGAACCCAGCTAAAACATTTTTTGCATGTGTCTGTCTGACTTATCTGTTTCAATGAGAACTGAAGTCAAGGTAGAGGGGAATTTCGTGGTCACCACCCAAACATTCTAATCTCCAAACCTGCTTTCCTCAAAGATGGGAGAGTTTTCCAGTCCATTTGTCAACCTCTCAGTCCTACTGCAATGGTTAAGAATAAATGACCCAGAACCAGGAGAGTTGATTATCAACATAGTAAAGGGGAGGGTTTCAGAGAGCAGGAGAGGAGGGTTAATCACATGGAGAAGGGGAGTGAATGGAGGTTGGCAATTATTCAACAGTCGCCCTGAAATGTGCTGGTGAAGGACCAAGAATATTACTCTTTTTCTGATGGAGACGAGAACTTGTTTGATCACCAGCAATCTGCCTTTGAGCCTCCTAAAGTTAAGTTTCTCACCACTGCCTAGAGAAATACGTAATTCTGAGGACTGCTGTGTCCTCCCTGAATGTCTTCCTTTTGGGGACAGTGGGAGAAAGTTAAAGACCTACAGAAAGGATTACTAATAGGGAAGGAAGGAAGGCAGGGGGAAGCGAATGTGGATAACATAAAAACAGAGTAGAAATAGAGAAAGAAGCCAGGATGAAAGGGGAGAGAAGGACCACAGACAATAAAAGCCCAAAGGAATAAGAGGACAGAACAAAAGAGAGTGAGAAAGAGCGCGCGCGCGAGAAGAAGAAAACTGATTTACTGCTGAGAAAAGTTTGTCTCCTTAAGTCCTCTAGGTCCGGAAGTCAGACCTAGCACAGAGCATGGAAAGGAGGCCACAGACACCCAGGCCGTGATCCTGGAGAAGTGGTTCAGCCCCCATGGTGATGCAAGCCCAGGCCGTGACAGCCTCTGCCCTGGTGTATTTCATCCAGGTGAGTGTGAAAACACAAAAGCAAACCTTTGTTTGTTTGTTTGTTTGTTTCTCAGATAAATCGACTCTCAGAAGACCCTTGGGGGAAATGGATGAGAGGAAAGACACATATTGGACCAAAGGGGTCATGGGGAAAGAATGACTGGAATGTTTCCTTAGTGTTATAGTTTTATGCGGTCCATGAGTGGCTAATGACATCAGTGAAATGGGGGGGGGGGGGGGAGTAGTGGCAGAAATTAGGGTAACCGGAGATACATGCAGAGTAGCTATGGTAATTCGGAAGGGCCACTTATCGATATTTCTTTTAGCATCGTATCACCCGTCCCTCAAAATCCCAAATGTATTCTCAAAAAGAGTGACACAGTTTCCCTGAATGGAGTTTCCACATCAGCACTGGTACAGTTCTAACAGCTTAGGTGCCTCCGGATCAGAAATCAGTTAACAGAGGAAAAACTCTTTCGAAATACTTTGGGCTTTTTATTTCTCGCCACTAAAAATCAGAAGGCCCTAAGTAACTCATTAGCTGAGAAAAGGGTCATTAGACTGATGATCCTGGACAACTGTCAAGGGGAAGTTTGCATAGCTAGCAAGGGATGGACTGTCTGTTTTGATTTCTATGTCCTCGTTAAAATAATGTCTGCAAATCCATTTCTTTCTTCTTGTATTTTCCTTTTGCTTCCTCTTCATTTCCTTGCTTTTCCCTTTCCTTCTTGCCTCTGCTTTTTTTTCTCTTCTTTTTCTTTCCTCTTCTTTCCCCTTCTTTCTTCTCCTCCTTCTCCTCCTCCTCCTCTTCCTCCTCCTCTTCCTTCTCCTTCTCCTTCTTCTCCTTCTTGCAATAATACCCGAACGAAGTATTTTATCTGTCTGGCAAGTTAAACTTTTCTTACCTTTTAGTCAGGAAAAAGAAACAGAACCAGGGCTGGGCTGAGAAAATACACTTTGTCACCAACCATTTTAAAATAAAAAAAAAAAGAGAGAGAGAGAGATTCTCAAATGTTGTCTGCAGAAGACACCTGGTTAATCCTTTTACAAACCCTTTTTGCCTGATGTATCGTGATAGTGTGTGTCCCCTCTCGCTTCCGTAAACTAGCGATGAGCACAACTCTCTGTTCCTTGTTGAGGGCCTTTGTGGTCTTTGTTGTTGATTTCCTGGAAATATTAAGTCATTCAAGTTACAGGAAGAGAGATACAGTCTCTGAATGCAAGTTTCTCTATTTGGGGAGAAAGTCAACTGAAATACAAGGTAAAAAAAGGAGTAGAAGCTTTCATTATTGTTAGCAGAAGGGACTTGCTAGCAATACCGAGGAGTCGTTAGAGCAGATTCATCCCTTGTTCTATTAATTCATTCAACGCGTGTATAGGATAAAGGCTGATCTGAATTCTGGCTACCTCAGTGGGAGCACACAGTTGGTCATGTTAACTTAAATTCCTTTGCCTCCGTCACTTAATCTTTCAAAATAAGGTTAAGTATACCCACCTACATGATTATTGCAATGAAATGTTAAGACATAGTGAAAATTCTTAGCTGACTCGCGTATCGTAGCCACTGAATAAATAAAATTGTTCCCTTCCTTTGTCCCCTCCTCTTTTTTCATATAGTGTGTTATTGATGCACTAAGGGAATAAAAAAGAGGAGTGGTCTAGAATGCAATTTGTAACTGGGAGAGAATTAGGAAGACAATAACAATATCCTGAGGGACAGATGAGGAAATTTCTAGGACAAACAAATTGATTAAAATGCTGCCTAAGGTGCAATGCTCACCCCTTCCAAAAAACAAAACAAAACCATAACCTCCCCCCCCAAAGCCAAGACATTTGTTCCTCCAGGTTCTCCCATTTCAAATCTAATAATCAGCGGGCATGGGAGCAATGAAAACCCACAATCCTCAATATGCCTGACCCTCTGACCTCGTCCTCATATTTTCCCGGCTGTCACCATGCAATCTAACAACGCAGAGTCATGAGGAACAGTCGATAGGCTGCTGAGCAGAGCAATGAGACATTTCCCTGTCTGAGACTATTTCCCTTCCTACAGCTTCCTCGGGCAAGATGTGAGGAGAACTGTGTGAGTCCTGAACAGTAAGTATCTGAGACCCGACTGGGAAGCAGGAGAAACAGACAAAAACATTAGTGCCCAAAACAAGGTCAAAGGGTCATCAGATATCTGTGACTTCCCTTTATCTTTACTTACACGACCATCAGCCCACTAATCACAGACAGGGTTATCCAAAAATAAAGACACGCACCAGGGTGTCGTCCTAAGTACTTAAAATAAAATCACTGACAGCATTTTTCCCCCCACGGCCAATCTCCCCCTTAAAACATCGGAATTAACCTCCGTTTATATAGTCACAGAGATTTGCAAAAGGTTTTCTCGCCCATGCTTCTTCGTGACTCATCAAGACAGACTGGGTTCAAAAATCTCGTCCTGGGGCAGATAAGTTTGGGTAATTCCAAAGTAGCATCACCACCTGAGGTATGAAAAGCATTTTCCGTATTTTAGGGCATTTCACTATTCTTTTTTTCTAAATTTTTTTTTATTAGTTTTCTTTATTTTTGAGAGGCAGAGAGAGACAGAGCGTGTGTGGGGCAGGGGGGCAGAGAGAGAGGGAGACACAGAATCCGAAGCAGGCTCCAGGCTCTGAGCTGTCAGCACAGAGCCTGATGTGGGCCCCGAACTCATGAACCGTGAGATCATGACCTGAGCCGAAGTTGGACATTCAACCGACTGAGCCACCCAGGCGCCCCGGGCATATCACTATTTAATGCACATGTCATTTAGCTATGACTTTGAGGTCATTATCCCTTAATCTAAAACTATCACGATTAGGTCTTACATAGACACAGAGGACACACAAGGGGAAGAGATTCATTTCATTTGGAGGTAAATTACTTAAAAAAAAAAAAAAAAAAGAAGCAGGGCCAGTTGGAACAAAACAGTTGCTCAGCGTGAAGGAAAACACATATTTAGCCATGGGAAGGGTTTCTCAATAGCTAAGTCTGTTAAACCCAGGGGGAAATGGTGGTGGCCTTGACTGCTTGTCACACTGTCTGAGGTTTTAGACACCTACCAGTATAGGAAGAGTCCGTTTTTGTTTTTAGCTGTTATGTTCTTTATTATTATTTTTTCCATTTTTATTTAACTTATTTTTTAAATTTGCATCCAAGTTAGTTAGCACAGAGTGCAACAACGATTTCAGGAGTAGATTCCTTAATGTCCTTTACCCATTGAGCCCATTCCCCCTCCCACCACCCCTCCAGTAACCCTCTGTTTGTTCTCCATATTTAAGAGTCTCTTATGTTTTGCCCCCTCCCTGTTTTTATATGATTTTTGCTTCCCTTCCCTTATGTTCATCTGTTTTGTCTCTTAAAGTCCTCATAAGAGTGAAATTATATGATATCTGTCTTTCTCTGACTCACTACTTTCGCTTAGCATTATACCCTCTAATTCCATCCACGTAGTTGTGAATGGCAAGATTTCATTCTTTTTGATTGCCGAGTAATACTCCACTGTAGGGGTGTGTGTGTGTGTGTGTGTGTGTGTGTGTGTGTGTGTGTGTATTACATGGAAGAATCATTTTTAACAGAGTGAGAATTGTAACATTGTAGAGCAAAAAGAGGCTTTAAATAAATGGGGAATGTGAGAAAACCTACAGGAGACACTATGTATTGAAAAAGCAAACTATATGTTACAAATGTACAACTGAAAAGAGGAGGTAGAAGTGAATTTCAATGGGTTTCAATAGCTCAGTGTACCAGAAAGTATAATTAAATTTGTTTATCTTCAAAAAAAAAAATTTGTTCCTCTTCAAAGATAAATAGTTCCTCTCTTTCCCCTTTGTACTCCTGAGCTTACCACACAATTCCTTCTCCCCCGCAATCCATATATTTTTCATCCCTAGAGAGAAAATTTATAATTGCCATTATTACTTCAGTTAATTTAATTAACTTCCGACACAGCGAAGTTGGGCTTGACAGTTTTATCCCTTCCCGTTTGGCTTCAGTGGGTGTGCATATCAGTTTTGATCATGGATGTGAAAGTTCAGGGTTTTTTCTTTTATGGTGAGAGTTTTTCTGGTGGCCCTTGCGACAATTGACAGCACGTAAATTACAAACTTCACTGCATTGCTTTCGTCTTATAACTAAAAGTTTCTTTCTGTTGAAATTTTACTGATCGCTAATGCATCCAAACGTCAACTTTCATATCCATTTTCAAACTTTGTAAACTCACATTCCAGGCTCTTCCCTGATAATTGTCCTCGTAACAGTTTATAGTGGTCACGACTACCCTTTCTATAAACGCTGTTTTCATAATCACTACTCTAGTCGGTCTTATAGTGCTTTACAAAAGTATTTACACCATGCCATCTGTAGTATAAAATTCTTCTTAAGGCGTCCCATTTTGTAATATGTTCCGCTGGTTATACTGAAGTCACTATAACTTGTATGTTAACTAACTGGAATTAAAACACAAACTTAAAAAAAGTATACACACACACACACACACACACACGTATATATGTTGTGATGCTTTTATTATAACAAGGTAGCATTATCACATTGTAACTCATATTTCTGATTCTGGAACTACAATAGGCATTGACTATATTTTTATTACAGAAAAAAAAAAAAAAAAAAACCTCCAAACACCTTTATTCTTTCTCCATAGTTGCCTGACCACAGATTGGGTACATCTCTGGTATATATGGTAAGTTCCAACTCTAATACCCAGAAAGACATCTCAAAGGAACTTTCTTTTTCTCAAGGGCATTTGTTTTTTTTTTTATCTATTTATTTTTTAGTTTTTAAATATACTGATGGCAGGAAAAAAAAAAAAACAAAAACGCATGAGACACCCAGTGTACTTAACCTTGCATCCCACAGAGTCAAGTTTCTTTACCTCATTGTTAACTATGTGACAATATGCCAGGATTTCCTATTTCAATACCTTCTCCTCGGCCAACATCGAAAGGTTATTGTGTATTTTCTCAGCGTTAGCTCCAGAAATTTCTACAGGAAGGAGAATACTTTGTACGGTAGAAACAGACCCTCCACACCGCATTAAATCTCTTCTGGTTTTAACGAACCGATTCAGTCTTGCTGACGAATAAGTATATGTGTATAAAGAAGTATTATGGTCATTGCATAAAATATTCAAACAAAGTCAGAGTGCAGACACTGAAGGCTGATTATTTCCCAGGGCTGGGAAACACACCAGACCCCAGGGCGGTCACTGCCCTGTGGTCATCTTGCAGGTTGCTGGTGGTCATTGGCGGGCTGCTGCTTCTGTGTGGCCTGACTTCTGTGTGCTTCCGCTGCTGTCTGAGTCGCCAGCAAAACGGGGAAGAGGAGGGCCGGCCTCCCTATGAAGTGACAGTCCTGGCTTTTGATCATGACAGCACTCTCCAGAGCACTATCACTTGTGAGTACTGTGACATTATAACACTGGACGGGGATTAAAAGAACCATCAGGACAGAGCAACGGATATAGACACAAGGACTGAATCGTATTTTTTAGAAACTGTTTGAAATTAAAAAAAAAAAAATATATATATATATATTTTTTTTTTTTTTCGAGAGAGAGACAGAGAGAGCATGAGCCAGGGAGGGGCAGAGAGAGAGAGAGAAAAAGAGAGAGAGAGTACGAAACAGGCTCCGCACTGTCAGCACAGAGCCTGATGTAGGGCTCCAACTCACAAACTGCAAGATCATAACTTCAGCCATGAGACCCTGACCTCAGCCAAAGTCAGATGCTTAGCCGGCTGAGCCACTCAGGCACCCCTGAAGAGTACTGAAGATTCTAGGATTCAGGGTCATTCTAATTTCAGGGAGCCTGACGGTGTGGTGACCTGGGCTCATGCTGATGCTGTCTTCTCCAGTAGTAGTTGGACTCATGATAGAGTGAAGAAGTAGAATGTTGGAGAAAACATTGGGAATGTTTCATAGGAAGAGTTACCCAGTCTATAAACTTATTTTGATAAAACAATTTTAAACCATGAGTGTATCCCTTTTTTCAAAAATGTCTTGGATTTTGTGAGAACTTGTATCTTCTATTACTAATTTATATTATTTTATCTCTCTGGAGAAATTAACCACGCGTGCTTTCAACCTTTTGTTCTGTAGCGTATCTATGGATATACTTAAGGAGTAGCTTACCATTCCCTTGAGCATCATAAAACACTTTCCTTTATCTCCTTCGGTTCTCTTCTTTATATTATATTTATATAAGAGCCGGTGGCCCAACATTGTGATATTTATTTTGAAAAAAAATATGTTTGCTGTTCACCTTTCCTGCTTTTCTTATGGTCATTTTAGAGAAGAGAGAAATAAGATGGAAATAAATATTTCTAAGGAGTCTGCATTATCAGTGCATTGGTGTAAAGTCTATAAAAGGGAAAGGACGGGGCTGTGAGATATGGGAACACAATTTAGATGAGCCGAGGACCCCGGAGAAGACAGGCTCTCCTAGCAGAGTGAAGCTGGTTTCTAAACAGCCCTCGCGGGATTTTCATAACATCTGTGGCCGAGAGTGACAATGAGTTTGGACACTTGCTAAAAACGAAGGGAAATTAAGTGTGTTGTAAGTCCCTGATTTCTGAGGATGCCGCATTTTCTTTAGCTCTATTCCTTCTTTTCTCACCAGCCTTGCAGTCGGTATTTGGCCCTGCAGCTCGAAGAATCCTGGCTGTGGCTCACTCCCACAGCCCCCTGGGCCAACTGCCTCCCTCTTTGGACACCCTCCCAGGGTATGAAGAAGCTCTTCACATGAGTCGCTTCACCGTTGCAAGGTGTTGGCCAAAAACACCTGACCTTCCCCCAGTACCAGAAGAAAAGCAGCTGTCTCCAGTGGACGAGTCTCCTCGAGCAGGACCCTCTTCCAACTGATGGGAATTCTGATTTTATAAATGGGGTGGGGGGATCCCCAGCGTAGCCACAGGCAGACAATGGGACATTTTTTCCCCCTAACTTTTGGAAGATTTAGGATGACGACTATACATTATTCAGTGGGAAGGATGGCTTCCCACTCTTTGTTTCCAGCCACGTGTATTTTCTAACACGGAATGCTCTAACTGGGAACTCTAATTCTTTATCCAGTGGCCAGAATTTGCAACTAACCTCTAGCAATGCTGACTACTCCTGAACCAAGAAAGCATCAAAAGTACCTTGAATGCCTATAGCTATTGAGTTCCTTTGCCTATGGGATACTGCAGGTGGTTTTTCTTTCTGCCAGCTGTAACACAAGAGTAGATTGTGGTACATTTGAGGAGAAAGAGAAGAGTGTAGGCACAGCCATAGACATGAATGCACTGAAGCCGTGAATTCTTCCTCTTGAGAGAACATTCACTTTTCTACTGAATGCCAGTGACACTCTTGGCGTCATAATACCTAATACCTAAGTGGACCCAGGTAATCGTAGTACCTAAGTGGACGTTCAGGATCCAGGGGTAGGATTGCAGACACGGGCTAAGGGAACAGAGTACATACGGTGTCCAAGTGCCAAATATCAAGGTCTTTCCTTCACCCTGGTCCTACTCTCTAGCAGTATGAGAAACTTCATGGAGTGCAGTAACACTTTCTATTAATTTCTCAGTGTTTCTGCCTTGCAAACACATGCACGCACACGCGCGCTCGAGCACGCCTGCACAGACACTCGCAGTCTTTTCTCTAAAAGAATGGCATTGTTTCGCTTTTCTCTTTCTGGCTGACCCCTTAAAGCCAGGCTATCTATAGTGACCCACACTAGTCTCTAGGAGTGGCCTTCACTGCCACCTCGTGGCCATGGTAGAAAATGTCTCCTATTTGAGCCGATCTGCACCCCTCTCCAGTTCTTGGAGTAACTAACTGAACTCAGCCCGGATGGCATCCTGACGTGTCGTGCTAAGCTGTCCGCCTGAATTACTACTGGACAATTGGGGATATGATGTATTGTTACTGGACAACTGAGAAAGTAAAGTGTATTGGGGAAAAATTACTTGGCAGTGACCTTAGATAAATCATTGAAAATCTTTAAAGGAGTTTCCTCATCTGTAAAATCGGGGATAATAACACCTCCAAGGATTGTTGCGAGGCTCAAATAAGCTAGATACAAATGACAAGATTTGTAAAGTATTATGCACATGGATTTGTCGCTCTTAATATTGACATCTAATTTTCACCTGGCTACTATGATTCTGAGAATTGTGCTCTCGTTTGTTCTTTGGCCACCCAGCTTGTTAGGTTACCGCTAAGTCACGCTGGAAGTCACTTTTATTCGTCAATAAATATCTGTCGATTGAGGTTAACCACCAATGATATGTGATTCCTTTTAAAATAGTCTGTGTAGAGGGAAGGGATGTTTGAGAAAACTCATTTATTTAGCAATTAGCTTCATCACTGGGGGGAAGTCATAACCAGGGAAGAGATGATTAGGATAGCACCTCATTAAATACACCCTGGGAATGTTCACTCAGCCCAAGGGGAAAACTGTTCTAATTGAGTATAACCTGCTGGAGATCTGAATTTATCCTGAGTCATTTATCACATTGCCTCTGGAAATTGTTAAAATGCATGAATTGTTCATAGACCCCGAGGTGGCCTTGTTTTGCTACTGCCAAAGGCATCACTTCATTATCACACATTCCATAAAATATTCTAGGCTCGTTTGTCCTTCAAGATACCACAGTCTTGAAGAAATTAAAATGTCATCCGGTAGAAAAAAATCTTGGCAGAAATCCTGCCTATAAGTATCTTATTCTAAAGAGATCTCTCAGCCCTACCTCTCCCCTCTCCCTCTCCCCTCTCCCCTCTTCTCAGACAGGCAGAATCTTCCATTCCTGTAACCCTCCCATTTTGTCAGAATATTAACATCCGCTTGGCTCTACTTCCTTCTCTACTCAATCTACTTGTTGATCAGTGTAATCACTAATTCTCAGTTTTGTTTAAACCCCTTCTTACTTTTCTCGCACCTATCCTTCAAACTTTAAACACTGGTTCAAGGAAGTGAGCGGATTTCTTCCCAAAGCCCACACTGCCGAGCAGTGCTGCAGAAAACTCAACACTAGTGAGAGAGGTCATGATAAGGTCATGGTCTCCAACACCACTTGAGTCATCTACCATTTCTTCTAGAGTTTCTTTATTTTATTTCTTTATTTTTATTTTTTTAATGTGAAATTTGTTGTCAAATTGGTTTCCATCCAACACCCAGTGCTCATCCCAACAGGTGACCTCCTCAATGCCCATCACCCACCTTCCCCTCCCTTGACTGGAGCTTGAATCTGACCTTGACTCTGACTTGACTTAAGCTCACAGAGCTTAAGAAAAAGTCAAAAATACAATGGTAGCAAGCACGAATAGTGCAGAGAACCTGTATGAAAAGGCAGAATGAGGGAAGAACATTTTCTTTTTTTTTTTTTTAATTTTTTTTTTCAACGTTTATTTATTTTTGCGACAGAGAGAGACAGAGCATGAACGGGGGAGGGGCAGAGAGAGAGGGAGACACAGAATCGGAAACAGGCTCCAGGCTCTGAGCCATCAGCCCAGAGCCCGACGCGGGGCTCGAACTCCCGGACCGCGAGATCGTGACCTGGCTGAAGTCGGACGCTTAACCGACTGCGCCACCCAGGCGCCCCGGGAAGAACATTTTCAAAGATGGTGAAAAGTTGGATACGTGTGAGGAACTGAAAAAAGAGTAACTGTAGTAAGCAGAAAATGGAGTCTGAGAGGGAAAAGGAGTCTTGGGGGCAAGGAGTCTAGACTGTATTTTACATGCATTGAGAAACCATTGAAAATTTTAAACAGTGAGTCACTTGATGCAATTTGAATTGTAAGACAATGACTCTTGATGCTATAGGAGAATGGACTGGAGGAGGACAAGTATGAAAGCGTGAAGACTAGATGGGAGGTATTGAAGAAGAGTAGACAAGATGTGACTGTGGCTAGGGATTGTGATTGTGGACAGCCCATGACTGTGGACTAACATGGTGATGTTGGAGGTGGAAATAGAGATAAACGTAGGGATTTGAAAGACACGTTGGAGATAAGATCATCAATACTTGCTGATGGATTGAGTAGGGAAATGTAGTAAGGGAAAAGAGTGAAAAATAATTCCTAGATCGTTGACCTGAGCCAATACATGGAAGGTGTAGCTGTTTATTAGGATGGGAAAGATTGGGCAAAACCAGGTTTAGGGGAAAACTCAAGTTACTGATTTCTAAAATGGGGAAGAGGCATTTTATTGACAAAATATATCCCAAGTTAATCTAAGGCAATGCCCACTTCACTAAAGCAGCAAAAAAGCACAGATGTGCCAATGAGAAAAATCAAAAGGTTTCCTTGAGATTGAATGAGGAAAGTCTTAATTTGTAAAACAAGAAGAGAAAAAGAAATTCCATATGAGGCCTTTATAATTTGCAGTATTTGTAAGATAATCCACTGTAAATGGCAGGGATTTTTGGATATGCCTATCTGGGACAGAGGGGTCTGAATAGGAAGATAAAAGTTCAGAACGCATCCAGTTAAACTGTCTATTTATATTGTGGAAATAATTCCAAATGGAATCGGGAAGTCTTGGAAGGGGAGCTCTCCTGCGTGTACCCTCATTGTAGCCTACATAACCAGCAGGAAAAAGGAAGATAAGGATTATTTTAGCAAATAGGACATTATAGCTCCTGATTTTTAGAAAAAGAAGGGAGACCCCTGCCTACCCCTGTAAGAAACAAACAAACAAACAAAAACCCGCTAACCATCGCTTGCAGATGAGAAACTGCTACAATCTCAAACTCTTATCCTCCCAATAAACTTTTGTTCCAACAACCATTCCCAGTTTCCTCCTAAAATCTAATAAAAGCTGACCTTCCTTTTGTCTCTTTGGACTTACCTGTGATTCACCATAGCTTCCTGTTCTGAACAGCAATTCCTCCTCTGTACCCAAATAAACTCAGTTTTTTACTTAAATAAAATTCTCTTTGCTATGTTTAAAGTTAATAATATATGGTTGACCCTTAAACCCCAATTGGAGTTGTGTGGACCCACTTATACACGGATTTGTTTCAATACAATACAATACAATACAATGAATGTACTTTGTTTCCTTATGATTTTCTCAATAACATTTTTTTCTCTAGTGTGCTTTATTGTAGAAATAAAGTATATATATATAATATATATAGCATATATATAATATATATATGTAGCATGGGAAATATGTGTTAATCAACTGTTTATGTTACTGATAAGGCTTCCAGTCAATAGTAGGCTATCAGTAATTACATTTCGGGCAAATGAAAAGTTATGTATGGATTTTTGACTGCGTGGGGGTCAGCACCGCTAACCCCTCCCCCACCCCCCACACTGTTCAAGGGTCTACCGTATATGGGTATAAATGAGATAATTAACTCCCCCTTCTTACCGTCGTCCTTCTTCTTCCTCTTTCTTGGTCTTACTTTTTACTGGTTTCTTTCCTTCATCGTAATACTTGAATATGAATCATACATTTTAAAATGAGGAGGGCATGGGGCGCCTGGGTGGCGCAGTCGGTTAAGCGTCCGACTTCAGCCAGGTCACGATCTCGCGGTCCGTGAGTTCGAGCCCCGCGTCAGGCTCTGGGCTGATGGCTCGGAGCCTGGAGCCTGTTTCCGATTCCGTGTCTCCCTCTCTCTCTGCCCCTCCCCCGTTCATGCTCTGTCTCTCTCTGTCCCAAAAATAAATAAAACGTTGAAAAAAAAATTTAAAAAAATAAATAAATAAAATGAGGAGGGCCTAGGTTTGAAGAAAAATGTCACAGGGTTAAGGCTTACACTAACTAATTCAGATACTGAACTTGAAGACAATGAGGGTTACTTAATGTTTTATTAGCAGGAGAGTTCCATAATGTGATCAACATTTAGAAAGATATCTCAGTGAAAGTTTGAGGTCTTAGCTGAAACGTAAGCAAGTCAGGTCTTCATTTCAGCCAGGAATGTATTGTAAAACTCCCAGTGAAAGGTGGTCAGAGTCTGAAAAGGAACACTGGGGGGTGGTGATGAAAGGGACTATAGTTTTATCTTCTTGTCAGCAGAATTCCAGGTTCTTTCGGTCTTTCTCTAGATCGTCCTTCTGACTTCAAGCAGTAGAGATTCTCTCCCACCCCCTTTTTATTTTTTTTTTATTTTATTTTTATTTATTTTTTTTTTTAAATTTTTTTTTCAACGTTTATTTATTTTTGGGACAGAGAGAGACAGAGCATGAACGGGGGAGGGGCAGAGAGAGAGGGAGACACAGAATCGGAAACAGGCTCCAGGCTCCGAGCCATCAGCCCAGAGCCTGACGCGGGGCTCGAACTCCCGGACCGCGAGATCGTGACCTGGCTGAAGTCGGACGCTTAACCGACTGCGCCACCCAGGCGCCCCTCCCACCCCCTTTTTAGCCCAAATGACACAAGATTTATAAACCTTCTGCACCCTGCAATGAAGCTGCAACTGTCCGTCCTCTACGGCTTACTTTAGGTTTCTTGGAGTGATTACACTCCGCAACCCCTCCCCTCCCCAACTTTTTCAATCGCTTTTCACTTGCCCCAGCTGAAACTTATACAAGGGACAGTGTCTAGTGGGATATCAGTATCTGAAAGGAGGTGTCTGTCCCTACACAGTGGGAGGAGGAGTTGTCTCCGACAGCGCAAAGCTCTTAATCCAAGAGGGAGACCTGAAAGGCGGACGTATATTGATTTACACAAGGACACAAGGACCATACAGGCTCTCCTTCCTGGGGGAAGATGGGTCGGAGAAAGATTGACTGGGCAACGATGACTAGTTTTACCTGTGGTTTGGAGGCAAATAAAACAGTACAGGATGACTGTGTAGGAGAGGACAAACAATTGTCCCTTCACCTTTCTAGGTTCTTGGCTGAGACACCTCAGTATTAAAAAGAGAAATTAACGAAGGCAAAGGTAGAAACCTAATAACATGTATACCTCCTGTACACATGAAAGAGACCCAGGAAGATTGAGTAACTCCCTGAAATGGCCCAACCACCACCTTAAATGTCATCTCCAGCTAAAGACAAAAGAAGACTGGGTGGGTGGGGGGGGGGAGGGGGGTATGAGAAGTCACCAGGAAAAGCCCAGTTAAACAAAAAAGTACGGTTGTTAAGCAGATTTATGTCACTGTCTTCTCCACTGATGAGAATCTCTCAAGATTTAGTCATCTGCCTCTTCCTGATACGGAAAGGGAAAAACACCGGTACACCTGTACGTTTACCTTATAAATGTAAATGTCTCTTACAAAACTTTTGCTCAGTTTTCAGAGTTATCCCGTGTCTGCTGTCTCTTAAAAGCA